GCGTTCACACTGATGTCTTTAATCATAAGGTAGTAGAAATGACAGAGACGACCACTGTACATGGTTAGCATGCATATATTTTGGCCTGCAGGTCAATTGAACTCTGTTTGTGCTGCTACTGCTGTTGGTGCTTGCAGCACTCTACCTTCCTCTAGTGGTTGGTTGATGCTGACAATGATTGTAACACTCTGTAGGACTTAATGCCTGTGACACCACCAAGTGCACCCAGAGACATCCTTGTAAGATGACCCAGTTTGACAACGCCAGCCTCCACAAACTTGGTCCTTATTGTAGCAGAAGAAAACACAGTGCTGGGAATGAAGTCATTAAAAAACAGCGGCTCCTCGAAAAGCCACATCCCAGGTCTGGGGTCAGGAGCACGAGTGACCTTCAGCACCCGCCAGGTGTTCACCACCGAGCTGTAAAATGGCACAAGTCCAGACAGATCCACCTGATCCAACTTCAGAAGAAAGAGGAGTTTATCCAATCCAAGCCGGCCCGCTCTCCTAAGCAGCACCTGAGCAGAAGCCATCCAGCTGTGACCACAGCCACACAGCAGCCTCTGTGCCGTCTGCAGTCCGAAGGCTGCTGTTCTGGACAAAATCTATAACTCAGTGTATCAAATATTAAAGACATTCAGCATCTCTCATGTTTCTGTCTCTTTATAAAAACAGCTGCTTTTAAAAACTGACCCAATTAAAGAAACATGAACTTCCATATTGATCAGATCAATACACACAGCTCTGATGTCACTACATCTCCTTGGACTCTTCATTGATGGTGGTTTGTGGCCCTCTGCTGGTGAGAAGATGAACTGCATGATGTCAGGTTCATGAACACAGATGACATGAAGTGTTTTTATTCTGCTTTTTCTAATTGTTCAGGGTCCTGCTCCAGGAAACAGCACAAAACACTCAGAGTCTCAAAATAAAACAGTTGATGTGAGTTGGAGAAAAGAGTCATTTGAATCAGTTTAACCCCTCTGTCATCATCAGAATCAAGTTTGATATCATTTTGATCCTGAAGGAAACACCAATGCGCACCTGCGGACCACTTACGTGCACCCTGCATATAAAGGCTGTGCGAGGCGAAAATTCATCTAGTAAGTTGACGGAGTTCTTTGTTACACCTGGGAAAACGAGGATGTTGCATCTGCAGCAGAAGGTGCATTTCATACTATGAAGCGTCACAATAGCTACAGATCCATGGATTGCACTAGTGTGTTGCTAAAAAAAGAAGCATTTCCAGACTTTAACAAAGACTGAAGCTATTGTCAATGGTGTCATAGTGCTACATTCAGTTGAAGTCACTCTTTGGCTCTTCATAAAATCCAGTACTGTGGCATTTCTCAGACTTCAGTAACCAGGAACAGAGAAAATATTCCCAATCGTACTTTGACTGGAAGAATGGTGGCGTGCAAAAAAATTAATTGAGGGTAGAAACGCGAAATGAGACAGCAGAAACCATTGCACAATACCTCACTGGTACCTCACTGGTCATTTTTCTTATACAAAGGAGGCATTATTACTGTAACGTTATTTAATTCTAGAGGTTTTTGAATTATTTTTTTGCACTTCTTGACTTGTAAAAGCCTATAAGATTTTTTTTTTTATTTCACCACTCATTTACTGCACAGAGAAGACATCATTTAAATATGTTAAAATTGTCTTTAAACAAACAGTATTATTAAAATTCGTCATGACTGGCCAAGTGTCCTCTTTTTTGGAAATCA